TGAAGGTTTCACTACACAGCGGCTAGTACAGCACATGCAGAATCCGTCGGTTTGCAATGGCAGCCTTATACCCTATAAAAAAGAAGGCAACTGGAAAGTCGATGAGCTAACGCAATGAAAATCAATGAGAATAGCTAGATGTGTCATGGAAAAAGTGAGCAACATTAATAAGCTGTGACCTCAAATTTACCAGTAATGGCGTTAAGAACCATTGATGTTAGGAGTGCATCCAAGGAAAGGTCATCCTCATATAATAGGAACATTTGCTGTATCACAAAACGTTTGCTGTATTTTTCTTAAAGAACTGCCTTTAAGGTCATTTCACAATTTTAAATTCAGAGCTTTTACATTGCAGTTGAAAACGACATATAACTTGTTTGCATTAAGACATTTTCTATACTTCAAATTCCATAACCTATTTTTTAATGTTAGGCAATAGTTTTTAAAACACTGCCCTTAAAGTGAATTTTCTGTATTTTTGATTTACATAATTATTTCAGCAATGCCATTAAACCTTTAATTTCACTCCCTGTAAAATGTAGAGTACATTAAAAAGGTTGTCTCCTGCATGGGCTTTTTTCTTGAGCATGTCCTATCAAATTGCATGTTTGGATTAAAAAAGTGGAAACTTAATTTCAATATGTTTTTGAAGTATTGAAAGCAAAGTACATGACAAAAGATTCACTTTGTCATGAATAAGAAAAAGCCCCAAAGGCACTTTACAGACAAAACTCTCTATTGTGATTTTACATTTACAATAACCAATCAAACAAATAAAGCTTTAATTTCATGGTTATTAGCCTTAAGGTATTGTAAAATAAAACACACATAGTCATAGCGGAAAAAAAAAACTACAAGAACAGTAAAAATAGTCATTACAAGAAATCCAATACATAAAGTGAAGTTCAAAGGTCAGAAAACACAATTCCTTTAAAGCTGTTTCCAAAACGTCACTCTCAATGGATACATTAAGGTACAGTAGGTGGAACATAAAGTGCATAGACTGAAATAGATCTACCTCCAACATATAAGTGAACAGTAAAACATGTTTTTCTAAATCTAAGGGCAGTGCAGTGAAACTTGAAGAGGAGACACATTCAGCCATTTTCTCATCACTTCTTTCTAATTCAGGGTCGCAGAGGAGCTGGTGCCTATCCTGGCAGCAAGGAGACACATGACTGCGAACTCTGTGAGCTTGATTCAGTGGTACAGTACATACTGTAAGCAGCAGAGTTTAGTGCAGAGAGTCAACCTCCGTATCTTAGAAATGCCTTCAAAGTGGGCCAGAGACAAACGGAAAATGTTACTCCTGTAGAAAGCCATTTTATTTGAAATATTTATCTAGTATGCAAGAAATTGAAGAAATCAGATTTGGAAAAGGCAAGAGTGCAGAAGTTTCTCAGAGAGGAAGCAGATTCTATCAGCGATGCATTTATCAACCTTTATGGCATACTAAGAATAGCAGCACTTGTTGCTTGATTTGATACAAGAAATTTAGAAATAAGATATATTTTAATTTGAAAACTGGTTAAAGTTTATATTCAGCTCTCTTTCGGGCATGCTTTCAATCACAAAACATTTTTTTAAACTTTTGTAGGCATTTTTAAATATAGCCCAAGTTACTGCAAGATCACTTACTGCATCTCTTTCTATGTAGTCTTCCCTTTATACATCCTGAATGTGTCATTTTTAATGAAAAGTACTTCATGATTGTTTCAAGATACCTCAATGTTGCCAGTCCTATAGATTTGGTGAAGAAAGCAACATAGCTTTTGACTGAAAGCAACCTGACTGCCTGACTGTGCATGAGGCAGTATCAAATGTGAAACAAGTAGTGAGTTTTAAACATTTCTAATTGTTGAGGTGATAAAATCCACCCTCTCTCAAACGTGAGATGCAGCTCTGTTTAGTCCAATGATAAGGAGAATGATAAAATTTCAATAATGAGGAGAATTACATATACTGTATATAACTACAGTATATCAAATAATTATCTCCTGGATTGAATGGTATCCTAAAGCATCAATGAAGCAGATACTGTAGGTAGAGTGGGTAATTCCATTCAAGCTACACAAAATGGCTCAATAGGCAAAAGCTTGTCCTGGTTTGAAGGTGTGAAGCATTCAGAGAGCTCAGGACTCCGAAACCCAGAATGGGATGCGAATCCATCCCCAGCAGGCCTGACTCACACAGATGGATGGACTGGATCAACTGGGACTCGGGTCCCCCCATCAATGTACAGAACAACAGCAGAGTCTGCAGCAGAGACTCGAACCCACTGCCTACTGGAGCCCAGGGAGTTTCCCACTCTCATACATTCTCCCCAGCAAAGCAGATGCTAGCATCCAAAGTCATTCTTTATGTATGTATCATCTTATCTTGTCTTTTAAATAACCTGACCCACACAGAGTTGGAATAAAGTTTGCAACGTTTATATATGTGCTGTGCTCTATACTGAAGTCTGATACAGAGGAGTATATTTTAAATGAGACGAGTTTTGTGTGAACTCTTTGGGAAAGAGAGAAATTGTTTATTAAGATGCTAAGTGATCTGCTAAAATTAATAAGGAAAAAAAACGTGACTAAACTGTTATGTGTTAGTTTAACAAGTTATTTATCTGTATTACACATGCATTCAGTTTCTTAATAATTTTACTCAATGTATTTTTTGTTATTGATTGTATTTTGTTAAGGTATTTTATAATCCTGCGATTAGCCACATCATTAATTTATTAAGGTTTATTAATGGTACAAAGCACTAAAGTGTCACAGTAAAAGAGAGTTCTCTCAAAAGAATATTTTTTTCCTCAGCCTAAACCCTGCATCTAATACAGTAATATCAAATGATCAGCCACTGTAATGTACCCAAAATTAAGTAATACAGCAATCCATGTATTAACCCTTAAGCCATTTACAGAAAACCCTCTGATCTTCCTCTCACCCGTTTATCTCGGTGCTACACTGAAAACATGCACTCATAAAATAGTCTGAAGCACGTCAGAAAGCACTTGCTTGGAAAAGGTCAAAAATGTTATTTTTAATGGAAGTATAAAACTGTTTAATGTAATCAAAGCACTTTCGATCGCATCTTGAGTTCATTACAGAGCCCAGATATATGTAATGCAGAAGGAAACTTGCAGTAGTTTGCTAGTCTCTTCACTCCTTTGAAAGCTTATCACTCAACTCCCCAGGCACGGCAGCACATCTAGTCTGTCACATCCAGGATTCTGCTCTAGTTTATAAGAGCTTTAATTGATCATTCCGAAAGACAGGCAAGTCACATATTGGATGTCCAACTTGTTGGGACACTTGCATGTTCAGCATAAAGGAACTAAGATAAATGGGTTGGTACAGTACCTTCAAGGACTTTGGAACCTTTTGCACCCAAGAGTAGAGTGTGATTTATTTTTTTAGGATACTGTTTTGTGTATCATGGACACAACAGATTCATATCTATTTCATCTTCTGTTTTTACCTTTCAACTGTAATTTATTTGTTTAAAGCAGTGCTTTGACAAGATTTTAAATTCAATAGTAAACCAAGAGCCTCTTCTACTTATTATTATAAAATAATAAACTAATAACAATTAGAACAACAATAATTAATAAATAATATTTTTATGTACAAACTATTATTATAAATAATGATGAATAAATAACACATAATTTCAATGGTAATATTCCTTACAAATTAGTACTCTGACTGGAGTAAGTGTGAGATTTATAAAGCAAGTGAGGGGAAAAATCATGGTGACTTATAGGGAATTAAATAGTATGTTGAACAACTTAAATATAAAATGTATTTTCTGATATATACTGTATATAGTAAGCAGAATTATGAGAATTATGTACTTGAAATAAAAACATGAAATAAAAAAAAGTTTTGCCTTTTTGTCTCAGAAAAAAATCTCACAACTTCTTGAAAGCCAAATAGAAAAGGGTACGATCAAAATATATTCATGTGACATTAATATGTGTAACATCCTTTTACGGGAAGAATTTATCATTTGTGTTGCGACTCTTGTTCTGAAAGCTGTCCTCAAAACTATCGGGCTGCTTAAGTTTGAAAACTTTCTAATTTAACACAATGAATACATTTTTTGGTTCCTAGAATTTTAAAACTTGTGATGTTAGTGGTTATGGAACCCTACAGGAAAACTCTTGCCCCTCTTTGTCAGACACATTAAGTCTGCTTTCCAGAATGTTAATGTTAAAGTTCGCAGGGTGTGTAATGTTACTTAGCTGTTCATCTTCGGGGGCACATGAAAGTTTACTTGTTTATTTTGTCTTCTGTGGTTGATGCTACATTATCTACATGCAGACATACTGCACAAATTATTAATATTTATTGCTGTTTTTTTTCATTTTTCAGATTCTAGGTTGAAGTATGCAATATCAGTCAAAAGCTTAATAAGGTAACCTGCATAGGGATGGATGTAGAATGACATGGTATTATGTTTAGCCAGACACAGATAATCTTTTAAAATTTATTTTACCCTTTTACATAACATAAAACCCTTCATTTAGAACTGAACATAATTCATCTAGAATTATATATAATTCAATTCATCATTTAGAATGAAAACCTGAACTGCTGTTACTTTTTTAAGGATCCAGCAATAAACTATTAAAAGAATGCCCGGATAAGATAAAAGAGCAGAAAAATAAATTTGCAACAATATTGGTTCCTAAGACAATTCATGAAATAAGTTCTGAGAAGAGGAATACAGAGATACATTCATTGAAATATTTCTGGAATATTGGACTACTGTTACTCAAACAAATAACAGTCCGTTTGACCTTTGGCAAATGCCAGTTCAAATACCTATCCCACACACCTGCCTTCTGCATTCAGAGACAGGCACTTTCCCAAGCATCAGGGAGTGAATCCTGCTAAACTAGGCTTTTACAAAGACATCGATGCTGTCATCAGAAAACAAAAACAACAAAACCCAAAAGTCTTATCTGTCTGCAGAGAAAAAAGAAGTACAGGAGTACACACCTCTAATTTGCAGAGACTAGAGCTCTTGGACCGGGATTTCTTGCGAAGGTAGACAGAGAAGAACCTCCTGACCGTAAATTTCCGCATGTTCATGTCCATTGTTCCTGGCTTTTTTTCTCTTCTCCCTTCTGATTGCAACTTGTCTTTGTCCCTAAAACAAAATCCAGATCAGCAGCACAAAAGGGATTTATTCTTGCATCGCTGTCACCTTCTGGTAATCCATAACGCAGAATTGCAGGCAGAATTAGAAATGACTGAGCAAACCATTAATGCTCACAAATGTGTTCTCCTTTTGGTGCACTGCTCTGAACTGGAGATGCCATCAAAGCCAGCACAGTAGTCTATCTGTTGTCCTCAACACCCAGTGCTTCTCTCTTTTTTTCTGCTCTCAGCTCTTACGATGCAGAGCTGCAATCTAAACTGCTGATCTGCTCCCTCCTATGCCTAAGGTCTTGTTACACCCAATCAGACCCAGCTTAAACTGCATGCACAGCAGGTCTAAGCAGACGAAAGCTCCCATCTCTCAGCCAGCAGCACAGCTGACAAGCCCACATGTATAATAGATGTCTTTCTTCCTCTTTCACCTTCCCAGAGCTCTGCATCAGGGAGTCGGCAGGACACGACAGTAGCCCCATGTGCATCAGAATTTCAGAAGCAGAAAGCTTTAATGAGACCGGCGTGAAGTTTGGGGGAGGGGGAAAATAGCCTTCTAAGACCCTAATTCTCCTGGGAAGAACAAGCGGGATAGCATTTCTCATTGTGTGGTTAAAAATGTTCATTACATGCTAAGTATAAATGGGAGGACACAGGCATGTTGTTATAGCTGTAGTACTGTATCTACAGTAAGTCACCTGGTGTAGAATGCGGCGTGAGGAGGAAATTGGCAGTAGTGGTGATAAAGATGAGGCGCTGGTCCCATGACCCTAAGATGTAAAATACAGCAGTGAGTTTTTAATACAAACTGCTTTGATAGTGAAAATGCCCAGTAGAGCCAAGAATATTCTGATACCGTGGGAAATTAAAGACTTGACAATATACAGTAGCTACATTCAGCTCACATCTGAAATGGCAATCTAAGCTTTATTACATCGTAGGAATAATACTTCATGGATCCATACATTTTGCCAGTTTAAAAAAAAAGAAAAAAAGCAGAAACATATTGATTTTTTATTTCCGAAATTCTAGAATTTTCCTGTATTGTAAGAATATCTTTAGTACTTTAGAGTTCACTTTGGTGTTTTGGATTTAGATTCTACCCTGGCTCATGTGAGTCTTCATGAGACTAGAAATCATGCTGCAGCAATAGTTCTAATGGCTTCTTCTACAAAGAGATCAAGAACTAGACCCCTACAGCTCTTACAGCTACCCAGGAAGCTTACCGGCATAACTACAACACAGAAACCAAAAAAACAAACAAACGGCAAAATCTGGTCTCAGAATTGCTAAAGAGACAATAAGGTATATTAAGAGAATGGAGTCACAAGTTTAATAAAATACTGTGCACTATTGTAACCTAGAGAACAGTCTCAACTGGCAGTTCTTTAAATGCTAATCTGAAACAGTCCAGTACAAGACCTGGACAGAATGTTACAGGTGGTTAGGAAAACCTCAAATAGTTACCAGTCTGTATCAAACAGACAAAGTACTAAATATCTGAAATAAATATCCTGAAGTGTAATTTCTGTCTTAGTATTATAGTAAGACCCTGAGTTTCAAAGAGTCTTACTATATCAAAGAGTAGGGGCTGTCAACAGAGCTACAATACTTAGACAAGGCTGTGGTTACAGAATAATAATGTGCTAATCCATAATTAGCATGAGATGACCCAGCCTTACCCACTGATCCAGCCCTTACCAAGCTATTTATGCTGGTAATCTGATGGAGGGCAGTATAGGGTGTCCCAGAGTGAGGATGCCATTTGTGTGTAATACACCCTTCTCATGAGAGCCCATTCTCATCTGATTTGCTGCATGTAATTGAAATGCAGTGAAGAAACACTGAACTGAACACTGCACTGTTTCCAATAGGGATTTGTCACCATAGTAGTCAAACCACGACAGGAAGCCAAGGTGTTGCAGCTTTGGGAATCAGTTGACTGACACAAGCAGTATTAGACCATCATGCATCTGCTAGGCTACTCCTGATAAGTTTATACTCCTACTACTGATCTGCCCTGCCTGTTATCAACAGAAAGAAAAAGTTATTTGTGCCTCTTCTTTTAGTATTTCCTTATCAGAACAGTGAACTCAAAAATAGTAATTGTTATTGCAGATGAAAAGAACAAGTAACTATAAGATTTATATACAAATATTTATTGAAATCACATAATAATTGTTTTATAATTTATGTATCTAAAGAGAACACAAACTGAAATGTAAAAATTTACAGTATTTTTTCTTTTAGCCACACATTGTTTTGTACTGATAGTTCCAAGTGTTATTGATTATTAAATTCTGTTGTGCACAGTAATTGCTGAGATGACATATTCAGCTTGTTCAGAGTAATTGCTTTGTTCCAGGAGTTTGTTTTTCCCTCATGTGCTTTCTGTTGAAACGAATGAAAAGAGTTTAGTGCACGTGCATGTCAGAGATTTATGGACACACAGAAAGTATCACATTGTGAAAGACTTCACAATAAACTATTAGGGTTTTTGTCTCCCATCTTTGTTCTCCTTCAGTTTATACTGTAATCTGTTATATTGAAACCATACTACTTGTGTGAAATTTACAAGCAAAGAGTCAAATGCTGGTTCATTATCTCGTACCTCTCTCCATCAGGCGAGTCAGATGTTTCCTGTCAGGGCAGTGTCTCTGTGTTACATACTGTAAGACAAGCTGTTCTGGGGCAGAAATGATGTGCCCAAGAGCAATATAGTGTACAGCGTAGCCAAGTGGGCACACAGAGGTGATCAGGTCTGCAGGGCTCCAGAATGGCACAAATCTGAGACAAGAAGCTGCACGGTCATACTGTAGATCAGCTGACTTTCTGTCAAATTAAGATTTATACTATCAAAACAAGGGAGCTGCGAAAAGAAAGAAATTAAAGAAAGTTGAAAACAGGACCAAAAATACACATTCAGCCACATTTCTTTTTTGTCTGCAATTTTCTTTTTAGTTTTTCAAAAGACAACAAGCCATATACAAAAAAAAAAACTACCCATAAACTCAGCAATTGCCCCAGTCTACAGATGGACCCCAGAAATGTAACCAAAAAACATCTGTAATGCCATGCAACACAGATCTGACCATTTCAGCAGCAGTCCAACACGCCACCACCTAGAGTAGGAACTGGCTTATTACATTTTAATCATAATAATGAGACCTGATTCCAAAGAATCCATAATGAACCACGGATATTTTCATTTGAGTCAATCAAAAGCTTTCTTAACACCTAAAAAAGGGATTGCACAGGAAGAAGCAATGTCTATAGCTACGTGTTTAATGTTTAATGGAATGTCTATACTGTAGATACGTGTTTAATGTTTAATGGAAGTTGTCTTTTTAAAGAGAGTCTGTCTGATCATGATGCACTAATTTCTTCATGTAGGTCTCCAAGCGGCATGGTAGTATTTTAGCATACTGAATGGTCTCATAGCAAGTCAGACAAGATCCCATAGAGGGCAGGGTCTTTCTCCACTAACACAGATACAGTATAAAAGCAGTACTGCCATCTCTTTGAGATAAACCCATCTTGATATCACTTTGTACATTTCAAGCACAGGGAGAACTAACTAAGGTCAAAAAGTCAAATAAAATGTAAGTGGAAGGTCATCAGTGCCAGATAATTGAAAACAGGGATGTGTGGAATATAACTACATGGGATCTGGCAGCAATACTCCCCCTGTTCAACTGAATGGCTGGAATATCTGAAACGCTGCTGCACATGTAATCTGACGTGTTCTGGGAATCCCTTTCCAATAATTTTACTGCAGTTGGAGTCATGTAATTCTGAAGCACATACGACTGAATTCAAATTCATCCCACAGAATGCAGGAGACAGAGTAATGGGTCAAATAAAGCAATTCTTCCAATTTAATATTAACTTTGGAATTATGTCTAAAATGATACATCTTATAATAGTGTGGAATTAAAAATTTAGTAGGTAAGAGGGCATATGAGGCCTTATCAGTCATTATACATTTGCAGAAATTTGCATAATTATCTGATAGCAACAGGGGTAGAACTGCAGCATTGAGCAAAAAGGAGAAAAGAGATTGGGAAGTAAAGAAAACAAATTCTGGAGTATGATTTATGACCTACAGGTTAAAATTAAAATTATCTGGATGAAGGTTTAAACATGTTCTGGACAGTTTCTACCACACCCAGAGCAGTTACTGACTGCACTGTAGATGTCACAGGCATGAGGTTCATCTTCTTCATCTTTGACCTGACAAATGCAGTGTTGTTTGGGGGAGGGGGTATTAGAAAAGAGGGAGCAGATGTTCAGTATTGAACAGTCCTGCCTCTTGCATCAGTACATGAATAAATAAACAGTACAGTTTATTACAGTAAATAAAAGATCCCCTTGAATATCAAGCAAGGTCACAGGTCTTCCTTCATTTGCTATGAACAATTTAATGGGTGGCAAATAAATAGGCAATAGCTTCAAATACAGTAATCTGCTAAAACTACAAACAGACAATTTAATATTTTCAAAGTGTGTACATTAGATCCAGTGGCTATTTAATATTAATACTGCATTAGGAGAAGGTATAGCTGATGATCAGTAAAAAGCACACGAAGCCACTAGCCATAATACGCATTTAGGAAATGCAGTTACCCAAAACTGTACCTACCACCTTTGAAAGAGATGCAGAAGAAAATTGCTTAACTAAATGAATTAAAGATCCATTTATCTGGGATGAAATCTAGTGTTTATGTGGATTTATGTAGATCAAATTACACAAGTTTTCAGTGACGACGCTAAATGCATGAAATAAAAGCAGTGTAAAGGGGGCACAGCTCCTTTGTGAGACATTTTCTAGGAACAACAAGATGGGACAGAAAAGGAAATCACTTGACAAAACAGCAAAGGTGAGTTTGTGACATTCCATAGGCTGGCTGCATGACCAAAATGGCTTGATGTTGGACAAAGTTCTAAATAGGATCCCAAGGGAAAAGATTAGGCCAAGGCTGTCCAATCCTTGGTCATGGAGGTGGGTGTATCTAATGGTTTATATTCCAGCTCAGCTCTAAATGAGCTAAACTGTTAATGAGGTGAGTACTGGCTTAATTGGACCAATGTATCAAATTCTTCTACTCTTCAGCCGCTGCTACACTGAAGAGACCTTGAATACCTGCAGACACATCTGCCCTCCAGGACCAGGACTGTACAGCCCTGGATTAGGTCAAGAAGGAGACCTCCTGCAGGACTGGAAGTAATGTCAACAATTGAAAGGGGTTGCAAAGGTGACAAGAGTGATGAGACGTGAATACAGTAAGTAAAAATTAAAATATGTGTATTACAAACCTATAAATACATATGTAGACATTTAGACAGTTGTCTCGTTTACAATAACACAGAAATAGAGTCTGAATTAAAGATGATAGTTGTCATGGAAACAGGAAAAGTGACATTTTAATTACATACTTGTTCTGCTTTAAGATGTCATTTGTCTTTCAGAAAAAAAAATCATTTTCAAGTACTAAGTATGTTTCAAGAAGT